AGAGAGAGAGAGAGAGAGAGAGAGAGAAGAGAAGAGAAGAGAAGAGAAGAGAAGAGAAGAGAAGAGAAGAGAAGAGAAGAGAAGAGAAGAGAAGAGAGGAGGGAGGGAGGGAGGGAGGAGGAGAAAAAGCTTAGGGACTGGAGACTTTTGGGATCATTTGCTGGTGCAGTTGGCAGAAGCTGTTGATCTGTAGAATTTGAAATCTGGGTGTGTCGTGTTGTGGCCATGGATCTGTATAGAGTTCAAGCCATTAGTGGCTTTAATGCAATCCCTGAGTCCGGGGATGAAAAGAGAAAGATCTGCACACCGAACTCCTCCAGAGGGAAGGCTCCAGTTCCAAAGGGAGCTGAGATACTAGAGGGACAAGGGTCACAAACAGGAATTTTACCAGAGGGAGAATTCCAATGCGGTAGAGGTCCAAGGGGGCGCCAGGAAGAAACAGGGCAGGCAGCGCTTAGGGGAAGGAAGGAAGCCCCGGGGTGGAGCTGAGTCCTGGTGGAGAGGAGGAGAGGGGGAAGGGGAAACAGAGAAGTGCCCTGGCCACAGGAATTTCAATTTGGGGCATCCTCAAGCAGGCTGAGAGACTTGCCAGATAGAAAGGTCCCAAATCACAGAGGAGAGGGGACCCTTTCTACGCGATGCGGGACCAGGAGGGTGAAAGGAGCATCCTCACACACTTTGTGGCTTTCACAGTAAGAGCAGGCTCCGGCAAGACGAAGCAGGCAGCTCCAGGGTGACACTCACCTAGGCGATGAGGAGAGAGCTGGTGGAGAGAGTGACAGAATCTTGCCACGTGACAGGATCCCTGGGCGCGGGGCGGGAGAGGGGCGTCGCAGGCTCCTGGAGACAGAGACAGAGAGGTGATGCCCCGGATCAGAGCGGAGGACAGCAGGTAGAGGGAAGGAGCCGTCCAGGAGGCACACTCTAGAATTTGGAGTCAAACATGGTGGATGGCAGAAGCCAGCAGAAACAAATGGTCCATATTTACTTTAGGCGAGTGGAATCAGCAGCAGGTTAGGTTAGGAGGCCCGGCCCCTCGTTTATTTATGCTCCCGGGAGGTTTGGGTATCAGATATATAAAGTGAGGACAAGCTCTCTCTCCAAGGTAGGGCTGAGGGGAGGGAGCGTACAGCCGGAGGCACTTGGAAGAGTCCTCAGAGCACGGAGAGAAAATAGTAGGTTAGTAAAGTGAACGCGGCCCGGCCGGCGGCAGCCTGGCCTGGGTGGGTGGGTGAGGGCCACCGAGAGAAAAGAGAAATAGAGAAGGGGCCAGGAGAGGGAGACAAAAACAGAAAAACCGAGAGTGTGCGTAGCCAAAACGGCAGGGTTATAAGGGGCTGAGAAGGCAGGGGAGGGAAGCCCACGCACCACCGTGCGCGCAGGAGAAGTTTAGGGTAGGGGGGGTGGGGTGAGAAAAACTGAAAAGAACCACAGGTAGTTGTGACACTGAGGAAGCCTGGGGGCCAGCATGCACTTTGGCGTGCTAACAGGCACCACACACAGCCGTTTGACCTGGCCTGATACCTGCCATGTCAATAGCCACAGTTGAATTCATATCCACCACGAAAAGGGGGAAACAACAACAACAACAACAAAAAGCCAAAACCAATGATGGAGTTGGAACTAGGGGAAAAAATGACTTCGTTCGTTTTTCGAGTTATTTGTATATTTTACGGTAACCCCGTCAGGTGTACAGCTGGCGCGTGCACACACACACACACACACACACACACACACACACACACACCCCTCCCCGCCCCATTCTGTAGGTTGTTTATTCACATGTAACTAAGAGTGACCTTGAATTCTGATCCTCCGGCCTCTACCTTCCGAGCGCTGGGGTTACAGGTGTACTCCACCACAGACACCTGTTTTTGCCTATCTGTAACTGTATTGTTCCTGACTGGTTGCGTATTTGGGATTACTTGGTTTTTAACCTTACTTCCTTTTTTGCGACGCAGCAAGGTATGATGAAATGCATACATACCGCATGTTCACAGGGGATCCCACGCGATCCTAAGTGAAACTAGCCTTTTGCATGCAATTTGGCTGGGTCAGAACAAAACAGTCGAAAACCACCCCCAACGCCTTCCGAAAAGGCTTTCACAAATGCAAATGCGGAACAATTTCGTGTGAAATTCTTTTTTTTTTTTTTTCTTTTTGCACCAAGCACAAAGGCATCTTGTGGCGAGTTAAGTCCTTGTAAGGGGGGTTGGACTAGGTTGCAGCTTTACTTTCCTGGGTCTTGTCACGACGATTTGCTGTGGAGTGTCAGGGGAAGGTGGAGGTAGGGCAAAGGTCGAGTTAGGGAGAACTGTGGAAGGGCAGGTAGGGGCGGAGGGGACAGGGAGATCTAGGAGTGGGGGCAGGGTGGACAGAAATGCCTGATGACCCGGGGAGAAAAAGGACCAATTTGGAGAGAAGCAGGGGCCGCGTTGCGCAACTATCGGCCCGCGTGCCCCCAGGTTAACCACTCGGTGCGAGGACCCGCCCCGCATCCGGGAGGACGACCCTGGAGCGAGAACACAATTAAGCTGTCGCCTTTTGCTCCTAGGGGAAAGCACTGGGGCTTCGCCCAACCTCACCCAGTTCTAGTCTATCCTGGAGTTTGGGGGAAATGCCGAATCCACTCCACTTCCCCCAGAAAGACGTACCCACCAAGGAGGTGCGGTGGACTGGCCTGCGGGTAGAGCAGAGGTGGCTTGCATTCTTAGCACTGAACCCCAGGGAAATAAAATACACCCAGAGTGGGTTAAGGCAGGGTAACTCTACTTACAGTTTGGTTACCCCCACCTTGCCTCAGTTTCTTCATCTGAAAGGCAAGCCTCAGAACTGTCCTTGGGGATGTCGTAGTTTATGAAGAGCTGAGCTCCCAACTCTTCTAGTAGGAAAGGCTGGGGCGGTGGTGGCCGCAGGGACCACCACAGTTCCCGGGGCGTGAGACCCTGGCGCGCACAGTCACAATGCACCAACCCGAACAATGACTAGACCATTGGAGGGCAGCGTAGACGCCGGGCAAGATCCAGCTCCTGGGCGGGGTCTGTGGGATGTGGGCGGGCACGGTCCCGCAGCTTTTTCCTTCTCGGACTGGGACACAACCAGCTGTGCAGTCGGCAGAGAGGTGGCCAGAGCAATCCGCGATGACTTCCAGCTAGTGAGTGTCCCTGGCCCGAGAAAAAAGTGGCGCGCGATGCTGGGGAGCAACCGGTGCGGGGGCGGCAGTGCGCCGGCGGAGGGCAGGTGGCGGGTGGAGCCCGGGGAGTCCTCGCGTGGGAGGCAGCAGCCTCCGGGTACGGTGCGTGCAACCTTGGCTGGAGACAACCCCCCCCCCTCGACGCCCCCTGTCTCCGCTGCTGCTCCGGTGCAAACAGGGAACCAGGTTTCCCGTGTGAAAATCCGACCTGGAAGTTGTTCCACGGTCAAGCACACGCCGAGGGCAGGTCTGAGCGTGGGGTGGTGCCTTGGGGGTGCCGGGCGCAAGGCTAGAAGCCCTGAAGCCCTGAGCAGAGACTAGGCGCCTATCTGACTGAGTTCTGGGATCTAGCGGTCGGATGCATGCGGGCTCAAGCAAGTTCAGGAGCCTTGGTCCCTGAGTCCCTTCCAGAGAGTTCCATAGCCACCTTCGCAGACTCCATGGTTTCAGAATGTTGGGGTCTGGAGTGAGGTGCTCAGCTGAACCTCAGTGAGCCTGCACCATAGCACCGCACGCCGAAGACGCTGGAAGGTTGACTTAATAATGAACGCGGGAAAAAATGTCCTTGGACGTGTTCGATTAGTTTTTACAAATTACATAGAAGGATTAGAAAGAGTGTTGTGGCCGGGTGATGGTGGCACGCGCCTTAACCCCAACACTCGGGAGGCAGGGGGAAGCACAGTTCTGTAAACTCGAGACCAAGGTTATTTTCTCCGTTTTTTTTTTTTTTCCAAATGCAAATGCAGTTAAGGGAGATGTAGCTCAGTTGGTGGAGGGCTTGCCTGACACTCCAGAAGCCTTGAGCTCAATCCCAACTCCCTGGGAGGCAGAGGTCCACAATTTTGAGGCTAGATGGGGAGATCAACTTTAAAATGGGCTGAGGAGGTGTGGCTCTGTGGGGTATGGTGCTCGCCTCCTGTGCACCAGTACCGGGATCGTTTTTTTTTTTTTTTTTTTTTTTAAATAGCAAAAGACGGTCCACAAAAGATGCAGGGAGTGAGGGGGAAGGCAGATCTCTCGTGTACCCTTGCCCACTGCTGAGGACTTCAGAGGGAAGGTAGAAGCTGGGCTCATTTAACGGGCTCAGTGAACATGAATGATGCCAATCAAATTTAAGGCTGGCAGATGTTTGACAAACTTCGTATTTCCTTCATTTATGAAAAGCTAGAATTTTGCTTCTAGATCTACAATCTTAATCCATGCTGTGTGCCATTTTCCTGTTTCTACTGCTTGGTGCTGGCCGGTGCGGTCCCGGGGAAACCATCATCTGTCTCTTCTAGCCCCTGAAATGCCATAGCTCCTCTCAGCATACCCAACCAACTCAGAGAGACATTATTGTCCATACACTACACTGAATACATGTTAATTTTTACATTCATTTCAAAAACCAGTGTGGCGGTGTGTGTCTGTAGTAATTCCAGCAGTTCAGGAGGTTAAAAGTTCAATTCATTCTATACCCCGTAGAACACTCAGGAGCTGGCTCTGTGAGTGGACAGAAAAGCGTGATGACAGGGAACGGTCAGGAGACCAGCATTTACTTAGGGTGAGTCAACTGTGCTCCTGACAAGGCCCATGAAGAAGGAAGTGCTGATACCTCTCTCCATGTTAGAGTTGAGACTGAGGGAGAAAGTTGTCCCAGGACCATGCTGGAAGGAGCTGATTGGAGTTTACCTCCATCCTGGATTTTGATTATTTGGGACATTTACTAGAATTTCATTTGACAATTGTTGGTGAATGGAGAGATGGGTCAGTAGTTTAAAACACACAATGCTCTTGCAGAGGCACTGTGTTCGAGTCCCAGCACTAATGTCTAGCAGGCCCTAAGCACCTGTGACTCCAGCTCCAAGAGGATCTGAAACCTACACACACACACACACACCATCAAATCAGATGTCCTGGGCAAAACTTTCATTCCAACATTACATTCTCCTCCCTTGGAACTTGAACAACACATTTCTTTTTTTTTGAGGTGTGGTGGGGAGCATGAGGTTTCTCTGTGTAGCCCTGGAACTAGCTGTGTAGACCAGGCTGTCCTTGAACTCACAGAGATCCACCTGCCTCTGCCTCCATGTGCTAGGGTTAAAGGCGCCTCCTCTCCTGCTGAGGCCACTGCCACCACACCACAGCAGCTGCATTCAGCTTTTTATGTGGGTTCTGGGGTCAAACTCGGGTCGTCAGGGTCCCACAGCAGGGGCTTCTAACATCTGCTGAGCATCTTCCCAGTTTTTCTTTCCTTTCAGGGCAACTGAAAAGGTATGCTTTTTGAAGTTTTTCAGATTGTATGGAATCCGTAGGAAGTAAAGGATTACAAAGGCCAGGGATGTAGCTTTGTGGTAGAATGCTTGTAGTTTGCATGAGGACCTGAGTTCATGCTTTATTTTATGAAAGGGGGAGGGACTTGGTAAGCTAAGATGCTGAGTTCATACTTGTTGAGATATTACACTTTCCAAGCAGTTTTTGGTGGTGCTGGGTACTGGCCCCAGCTCCTTAGGAGTGTTAAGTGTGTGCCCTTCTACTGAGCTACAGCTTCATCCCCACCTAAAGCAAAATCCAAACCAGAAACCTACCACCAAGAAACACACAGGCCATGTTATACTTGGCAGTTGGCTCTGTTTCAACATTTTAAGTTTTTGTTTGTTTGTTTTTGTTGTTGCTTGTTTTTTAGAGACAGGGCCTCTCTGTGTAGGCCTGGCTGTCCTGGAACTCACTGTAGACCAGTCTGGCCTTGAATTTAGAGATCTGCCTGCCTCTTCCTGGGATTAAAGCCATGCGGTACCACCACTTGGCTTCTTTTTTTTTTTTTTTTTTTTTTTTTTTGTTGTTGTTGTTGTTCCTTGAGACATGGTTTATGTAGCTCTGTCTGGGCTTTCAGACTCACTTTGTAACCCAGACTGGCCTGATCCTTCTGCCTCATGGTGTTTTAAAGTTTAAGCATCAATTTAAAACTTCAAGTAGCAGTCAGGTGGTGGTGGCACTCGGCTTTAATCCCAGAATTCGGGAGGCAGAGGCAGGCGTATCCTCGTGAGTTCAAGTCCAGCCTGATCTTCTGAGTGAGTTCCCGAACAGCCAAAGATACACAGAGAAACCCTGTCCTGAGAAACCAAAAAGAAAAAAAATTTCCTCAGGTAGAATGAAACTCAGGTTTCATCTTCAAAATCGTTGTTTTAGTGCATGGAGGAAGCAGATTCCACAGGGAAGAGGTGTCACAAGTTCCTGAGGAAGGATGGTTGAGCTCATTTCTGAATGTATGGACAGCCTGAGACCTAATACCGAGCCTCCAATGACCTAGTATCCCAGGTGGATGCTGGGAGTCAAGTACCCAACTATGAGTTCTGCAGATTAAATTCCATGTTAGGGAAGTTCTTAAAGATACAGTGCTCACTTGAAGATGAACAGGAGGCAATCGCCCAGAAAGTCCTGCCTTTCTGGGATAAAAGACTCCTCGTGCAAAAATGGAAATTCCCCAAAGTAAAGGGCCCGTGAGCTGGCTCAGTGGGTGAAGGCACTTGGACCACAAGCCTGAGGGGCCTGGCTTGGAACCCTGGAACCACGTAAAGGTGAGAGGAGAGAACTAACTGCATGAAGTTGTCCTCTGATCTCCCCACTTGCATGTGTGCCCCACCCCATCATGCCTGTACACATGTGCATGCACACACACACACACACACACACACACACTCTTCTTTAATCCCGGCACTGGGGAGGCAGAGACAAATGGATCTCTGTGAGTTTAAGGCCAGCCTGGGCTACATAGAGAGTTTTAGGATAGCCAGAGCTACATAGGGAGACCCTGTCTCAAACCAAACATGAAAAAGACATAGAAAGCAACAACAACAACCCCCTCAAAGCCATTGTTCACTTGGGGTTTATTTATTGCTACATGACAAGTTGTGAAGTAAAGCTGAGACCGTTTAAAGATGCTTAAGAATTCATCAAAAATGACAGGCTGGGTGTGGGGGTTTGAGTTCTAGTACCACAATCAATATAATCAATCAACCAATCAATCATAAACCTAAATGTTATCACAATTTCATTGATTTATTTATTTTAAAGATGTGTTCTGTAGCCTAGCCTGGCCTCAAACTCTCCTTCCTCAGCCTCTTGAGTTCTGGGATTACAGGTATGCCCTGAGAGAGAAATACATTCAGATTTAAACATTTTAATGAAAACATTGACTATGATTAGTCTAATGCTCGAATCAGGCTCCAGTGCCCACTTCCTAGCCCATTGCTGTGGCTAGAGGCTGTAGATCCTCTTCAGGTGGGACTCTGCCAATTCACCATATGGAAGCTAGCTTCTGAAGGAAAAGAAGAAATTAAAAAGGAAGGACATGACTGCTCCTAGATATGGTGGAGGAGAAAGTTTCCTCTAGATAAAAGAGAGAGCATGGCTAGAGGCAGAGATACCTGGCAGAGTCCAGAGTGAATATGACCAGACTGAGTCATATGAGGAGAGGTGTAGGCAGAATTTTGCTGTCCTGACTGCCTGCTCCCAATAACTGACTTGGGGACTTAATATAAGTGCTTGGCTAATAGCTCAGGCTTGTTATTAACTGGATCTTACAACTAACTCATTTCTATTAATCTATGTGAAGTCATAAGGCTTGTGGCTTTTACCTCTAACCCATTTAGTGTGTCCGACTTGTTCTCCATCTGGCTGGTGACTCCACTGACTCTTCCCTTCCTCATCCCATCATCCTTAGTTTGGCTTTCCTGTCTAACTTTATCCTGTTCTGCTATTGGCCAGTCAGCTTGTGTATTAGACCAATCATAGCGACATATATTCACACAGTGTGCAGAAGGGTTATTCCACAGCATTTCCCCCTTTTGTCTAATTAAAAAGGAAGGTTTTAACTTTAACATAGTAAAATTATATACTACAAAGCAGTTATCAAGGGGCTGGAGAGATGGCTCAGTGGTTAAGAGCAGTGATTGCTCTTCCACAGAACCCAGGTTCAATTCCCAGCATCCACATGGCAGCTCACAATTGTCTGTAACTCCAGTTCCAGGGGACCTGACACCCTCACACAGACATATATGCAGGCAAAACACCAATGCACATAATATAAAAACAAATTAGAAATCAAAACACCCACAAAAAAACAGTTATCAAGTATGAATTACAGTTACAATATCCAGTCTATTTTTGTATTTGGCAAAATTAGAGAAAATACTCTATTATCTATCTTATCTTGATGAGTCTAAAGTCTTATACCTAATTTGCTTTCTATCATAACTAAGGAAAACTATAAGTTTAACAATTTAGTTTTTAACTCTATCAAATATCCTAGAAGGATGAAATGTTACCTAATGACAGGAACATCAGGCTGCCTGGACCCAAATTTCCTCTGCAATGTTGGAGCATCCAACTCTGGCCTACAGGTCTAGCATATCTGACAGACTTTCCTGTCAAGCAGAGAATTGTAAAGGACTGTCCCTACCTTGTCTTGGCTGTGGGGCGTTTACCCACCACCCCCACAGTTCCCCAGAGTTTTCTTGAGTGCAATCAGCAAGAAATATTAGATAGAAGGATTTATAGCAGAGAATCTTGCAGAAATAAACAGATAGAAAATAAAGGATAGCCTCGAGAGGGCCTGGAACCTATTCCAACGGGCCCTGACTGTTTCTGGCCCAGGGTTTTTATAGAGATGCCAAGGGGTGGAGCAAAAGACCTCCTCCCCCAGCACAGCCAAGTGCAGACCATCTCAGACAC